GAGGCAGCAAGATCAGGCACCTGAGGGGCAGTGGTAAATCAGGGTACGTTTGTCGTCATGCTGGAAATTGGCTGCCGCGCTGCCGTTTGCTTCAGGAGAGGACGCATCGCACATGCATTTACACAGGTCCTGTGGCCCTACTTGTACCATTGGGGTTTTCCCCTCAGGTTTTCCACTGGAGTCAAATGTGGCAACTAGCATTAAAGAAATTGAGGATAAGACCGAAACCAACTTATGCTGCTTTTCTTACTTTTTTTTCCTTCCTAAAACATCCACCCATGATATTTGGACATCACGTTTAATCCACTCACATGTACTTAAACACCGAGCCAGTCAACCCTAATGTTACGACACCTCAGCAGTACTCCAGCTGTTCCAACCTACAAGCCACAAGATGTAAACACAGCTGATTGGGTCCTGTTTATTTCCCCTGGTTTGAGCCTTGGGGTCACACTTTCAAATTTTTCTGTCCAGAACCCTTTTTTTCCTAATTATTTTAGATAAAGCTGTAATTCTGTTGCACTCATGCACACCACGGGGAACTCAAACTTTGTATAAATTACCAAGCATTATGGGACCTGTGACAACCACCACAGATGCTGGAAATGCTGTTATGGGATTCACTATTAAAGTCAGGAAATTTACACTGGTGATAAGGTCAGTCTGCCAGGGTCAAAGTCTGTGTTTTATGTTTTGACACATTAATCCAATGTACTGAAATAAAGCCACAAAGGTTGGTATGGATTTATGCTTAGGCAGCTGCGAGCAGAAGTTGGCTCTGCCTGAACACTACTTCTGTGTAGTGAACACTTTAAGGAAAATATTTTCATCTTGTTAGTGGGAGAACAAAAACTTGGGTAATTTTGCAGCCTCTTTAAATTGTGCCTGTGATGAGAAGGAAGCCCCTCATGCTTACAGGCCCTCAGTAACTCAGAGTCACAAGTAATTTATGTCTGGGCTCACTGATAACACCCAACTAAGAGCAGCTGGGTCCAATAGAGACCTCACCAGAATCTCACAGTAAACTAATACAAGCAGTTACTTACAAGATAAGCGCCCAAACGTGCAGAAGGAATCACTCAAAAGGGCCAAACTGGATAGTAGGCATAAAGTATTGAGCACAAGTTGCAGGAGAGACAAGGAGGGAGAAAACCTATTCCATACCCCAGGAGAAAGTATTTCCAGGCTGAATGCTCACTCCTTTCCAGGATGAGGGAAGGATGACGCAAGGCAAAGTGGGAGGAGGGCAGGCTGCATGGTGCCGGGCACCCAGGGTGGGGTGGCTGGTGGAGTAAAGGGTTCCTCCTGTGAATGCAGTGGCTCCCTGAGCGCAAGCATGGGTCTCTGGATTTCTTTGGAGGAACACCCGTGGCCTAACAGCTTGTGAACTTCAAGGCCTGGGTGTATTTAATTTTGCTTTCCTGAAAATAAAAACCTGGGACAACCTTTTAGTTCAGAGCAATGGTACCTCAGGGATCAATATCCAGGTGGTTTTCAGGCAATAAAGAGCGTATGACACCAATTATTGTGGCTGTGAAACTGCAGCCTTTGTAAGCAGTGCCAGATAGAACGTATGAGTGCAGTAATATCTCTAGTAGTTGTAGTCTATCCTGTACTTCAGAACCAGTAACAGAAGTGTAACGTTTATAACAAATCATAAACACAGACATACTCCAAGTAATAAAAATGGCTCTGATCAAGGAAGAAATCAAAGCAAATTGCAGACCACGCCTCATAAGTTCAGGACTTGGTTCAATGCCTGCTGAAAGTGAGATTGTTGGTGAGATATCCAGCGACTTCAGTGAGCTTTGCTTCAGCCCACTGCAGCCCAGTTGCAGAGGGCGATGAAACACCTAAATCCCCGCATTGTTTACTTAGCGGTGACATGAACAACTCGGGGCATCGCTCAGGCACTGACATGGGTCTTCAGTCACATTTTCCAACCTAGCGTCAATGAACCCTCTAAAAGGGAAGAGCTACAACCCAGAATTGTTGGTGGCTTTCTACTGGTTTATTTCAATACATTTTCCATTCCATTTATTTTATTATAAGCAAGCTGAAGGACAAGTCCCTGATCCTGCTGTCGTAAATGCCCTGTTGCAGTCAGTGCAGCTGCACAAGGGCACAGAAACCTTTTGCTTGCAGGGGTAAAGGCAGGATCATTGCCTTGTTACAGACTGAATTTCTAGCCAAGCAAACACCGCAGGGTAGGATTTGATTTCTTAAAATGAACCAACACAAATAAGATCGGATCTGCAC